TCGTGCCTACAAGGTGGAGATGGCCAACGTATACAGGGTGCATGCACTGGCTCTAACCGCCCAGGTACGACCGTGTGTACGATTTGTACGGTCCGTGTGTATGTTGGTTTACAAGGAATGACCTGCGATGTGTGTCGTGCGAGTGCGTATACATGTTGCGTACATGTACGAGTGTGTATGTGTATGTGTATGTGTATGTGTATGTGTATGTGTATGTGTATGTGTATGTGTATGTGTATGTGTATGTGTATGTGTATGTGTATGTGTATGTGTATGTGTATGTGTATGTGTATGTGTATGTGTATGTGTATGTGTATGTGTATGTGTATGTGTATGTGTATGTGTATGTGTATGTGTATGTGTATGTGTATGTGTATGTGTATGTGTATGTGTATGTGTATGTGTATGTGTATGTGTATGTGTATGTGTATGTGTATGTGTATGTGTATGTGTATGTGTATGTGTATGTGTATGTGTATGTGTGTGTATGTGCCATCCTCACAGCTAATGGTGAAGAGGAAAAACCAGATAAGATTGCCACGGCCTTAGCGCAAGGATGGCACACACATACACACACATACACACACATACACATACGTGTACGTTCTCCCCCCCCGTTTACCCCTGCACACACCCCGCCTCCCCCGCCCTTACCCGCCCTTACCTCTCTCCCTCTGATCTCCGCCTCAGGGCAAATTCGAGGAGGCTCAGGCGCACGGCAACATGTGCATACACCTGCGCTCCGAAGCCGCCCGGAAGAACCCCAACTCCCCCGCAATAGCCTCCGCCAACATGTGCCTGGCGGCGTCGTACGTGGGTATGCGGCTGTACGGCGATGCGGAAGAGCTGCTGCGACAGGCGGTGGATATTTGCGTGGCGGTGAGGAAGGAGCAGGGGAAGGAGGGGGCAAAGGAGCAACGGGGGGCCAGTCCGTTGGGTTTGCTTGTTTGTTTGTTTGTTTGTTTGTTTGTTGCGTGGGTGTGTTTGGTGGGTGAGTGGGTGGGTGCGTGGGAGAAGNGGGGGTGATGACATCATCAA